GCAACCCAGTCCCCGCCCCCCCCCCCCCCCCAGCCAATCAGCGGCCTGGAAAGTTCCGGAGCGAGAAAGCGCTGGAAAAGCGAGGTTGGGAAGAAAAGGGAAGTTTTGTTTCCTGCTGCCACGTTGCCAAAAAAGGGGGAGGAGAGGGGATGCTGGGGGGGCGGTGCGAAATCAGGACCCCTTGGTGGGCGGGACGGGACATGTGGGGGCAGGGGGCTCCGGGTGGGAGGGTGAGGAGTGGGAAAAGGGAGTGCTTGGGGAGCACTGAGGAGCTGGACTAGAAAGATCCAGAAGTTAAAACCAGCGGGAGAAGGAGGCGAGTGGGGGCTAGTGATTAGAGCAGGGATTGCTGGGAGCCAGGACTCTTGAAATCAGGACCCCTTGGTGGGCGGGACGGGACATGTGGGGGCAGGGGGCTCCGGGTGGGAGGGTGAGGAGTGGGAAAAGGGAGTGCTTGGGGAGCACTGAGGAGCTGGACTAGAAAGATCCAGAAGTTAAAACCAGCGGGAGAAGGAGGCGAGTGGGGGCTAGTGATTAGAGCAGGGATTGCTGGGAGCCAGGACTCTTGGGTTCTCTCTTCCTGGCCCTGAGAAAGGCGTGGGAGTCTCATGGGGGACACCCAGCCTGCAGCAGTTACACTGACAGAAGGCAGTGGGTAGGCAGTACTAGGCCGGGCCCATAGCCCCTGCCTGTCAGGAGACTGGATGCAGAGCATGGAAGGAGCTGGGGGATTGTGTCTCCTAATTTTCACTAGGGGTCTGTTCACAGTAGCTGTATCCACACTAGATGTGCAACAGCGGCACCTCTACCAGGGAGCTCTCTTTCTCTTCCCTGCCCGTGATAAAAGCACCCGGGGTTAAGATGGCATCATTCCAGAAGGGTGACTTGTTCACTCCCTGGAGCCACATATTTGGTACCAATGTCATGGCTAGTATAGACAAGCCTGGTTAGGCGTGGCCCTCTCCCTGAGATATGATTCCTTCAGGGGAAGTCAGGGCAGATTCTGAAGGGGCCAGCCTACACACAGATACACTGGCTGCAGCCCCATTCAGGTTGCTGTGGTCCCAGGCAATGTTCCCTCTAATATTTTCCATTCCTGTGTGGAATACGTTTTGTTGTGTGCACAGATGTGCACCACCAGGAGAAACACAGACTGCCTGCTGTGGGCATTCTGCTAACCAGATGGGCACCATTTGAATCACCCAAGTGCTCAACTTTTAGGGAACAGTGGTTCCAGGAGAGCTGGGAAGGGGGGTAGGAGTGTGTGTGGGGGAGGGGTTTGCAGTACTTTCAGTGCACATGTCAAACCATCTCTTGTCATGAGCCTGTCAGGGAAATACCGATCTGGCTGCTCTTGCTGGATGCGCCCCTGAGCAGTGCCAGTGCCACTGTTGTCTCTCTCCCGAGGGGAGGGAGGGAGCTTGTTTTCCCGGCCCCAGGGGACTTTTATTGGGGGATCCTCTGTTGCCCCCCCCAGTGCACCAGCTTCTGCCCATTATGGGGGTAGTGGTGGGATATAGAACCAGGTGGAAGGGGGGGAGGAGCCACTGAACCAAGCACTCAGCCTTGCACCTGGCATGAGCCTGGCAGCACCACTTGCAGCCCCTGCCCCTTCAGTCCA